TAGTAAGCTGAATATGAAATCTATCCTGAAGAAAACTTTTGCAAAGACTGAGGCGCTTTTTGCAAAGAATGAGAGTAAGCCTGAGACAGTGCGCCTAAGTGAACCCTCACATTCAAAAGCACCGCACGAGACTTCAACGCTAGAAGCTGCGTCTTCAGAATCACGTGATTTCTGCATCGGTCAGCAGAAGGCGATTGAAACTCGGCAATCACTGACGGTATTGAATAGCAAGCTTTTACCACAGTTTGTAGTTCCAGATGTTCAACATTCACACCATACCACATCTCAGAAAACACAGGAGGCAGCTGGGGAATCTCAGCACTGGCAAGTCGTGAAGGCTCAACACCAGTTTAATGCTCCTGAAGAAATAGACAAGCCAGCGCAGCACTTTATAAATGGGCTAACTACCTCTGATTCGGAAGCATGTCAACCCAGTACAAGTTTCCAGCAAACTGATGACGTGCATGAAACTATTGCCCAGCTCAAACCGTTGCCGGAACTCGAGAAACAAGCTTTGGAATGTAAACCACGTGTGGACACTACAGCGACTGGCGCAACTGCGTGGAACACGAATGTAAGGGGCGAAAGCAAATCAAGGACTGCCGCTCTAAGCCGTCTAGCAGATGAGTAAGTCAGCTCAGCATTTCCTAGGAAATTCTGGTTCCTATTACTGCTGTATTTTCAACCGTCCATAGCATGAAAATTTTTTCGAAAATCACTGCTAATGGTGTGTCGAGCTTGATAAAAACCAGGGAACATGTTGTGAGCGGAGCCTTTGTCGAAAATTGTTATTGGACCGGGAGTGAATCCAACCATCCTGCCTTGGCGTACGGACGCGACGTGCTACCCACTACATCAGTAGCCCTTGTGCCCCAGGACCAGACTGTTAGCACAACTATTGTGTATCTGCTCTTTGAGGTAGAACAAATCTTTTAAAAATCTTATACGAGTACATATCTTTTTCTTTGTGACGGCGTCTTCTTGACCTGCTTTTCGGAGGTTTTCCGCAACAGAAAAATTTTTATCAGTCTCGATGCATCAGATGTTGCGGGTGAAAAGAACTAGTAATATGGAATTGCGTGTAATAGATGTTGCGGGTGTAAAGGACTAGTAATATGGAATTGCGTGTAACAGACACACGGCAAATTTTGTTATTAAAAACAATTTCAAGCGGAAAATGAGACTTTTTTTATGAAAGCTGATTATGGTTATTATGCGTTTTTTACAG